CACATTAGAAGCATGCATACTGTAGATTGTGTTATGTACTAGATTTCATCGTTCTATTGTCCCTCATCATCATTTGACCATAGACTGCAGTTCTTTGCCTTGACAAATTGAAGCAAGATTTACTTTACAACAAATTTTCTCCGTAAGACATGGTAATTGTTAACTTTCTAGTCTGGCCATAGTTTGTCTCAGGTGCACCTATCACTGCCAGTGTGCTTACTGCTGGTCTGATTAGCTTCGGACAAGGCAACTCTTAGCTCGGCCAGAAGTTGATGAGAGCTCAAGTTGTACTTCAGGGAGCAACAGTAGCCTTGATGGTGGGAAGTGCTTGCTAGTAGGGAGAACAAGTTAGGGGTTTTGAAAATTGAAGCCATAGAGGATAGTTTTGGTATGTACAACTATGCTTTGTTTGTTTCTTGGTGATAGATTTCACATTGAACATGGTCAAAATGAGACTATATTTTCTCGAAGCATTTAATTTCTGTAGATTTTTTTTCCCGATTTGATGCAAGAGCTTCTTTACGATCCTTCAGACCATGAGTATGAAACCTCCGAGCGTGGCTAAGGGGCACCCCCAATACATCGCCTCATGTGTTTCAGGAACCTCATGTGTTTCAGGAACCTCATGTGTTTCAGACCATGAGTATGAAACCTCCGAGCGTGGCTAAGGAGCACCCCCAATACATCGCCTCATGTGTTTCAGGAAATTAAATTCTTACGGGTGCCCATCATGAGAGTTAAACCTTTGGTGTACTACTCATATGCAACTTATCAACTCGGTTAGACCCTCTTAGGTCATGAAACGGCCCAGTCCAAGGTTCACCTATCCAGATAATATGTAAATTGACTCTTATGTCCATCAGTTTTTCGCACTAGCAGTCTAGCACCAGCAAAGGAGTGTGTCAAGCAACGGCTATTTTTGTTAAATAGCTTTCCTATAGGGGCATTTCCGTCAAATAAGAAAATCAATGATACGCTTTGGACTACACTTTCAAGGGGAAGTGAAATACCCCCCCACCCCACCCCACACACACACACACATCAATGGCTCAGAAAATTCTGCACTGTGAGGAAGGTTATGAGAAGATTTGGACTCCTGATTGCACGGCTAAGAACGCAGTCATTGGCCACCCAGCCGGCCAGCCCACAAGTTTCCAAATCAATAAATAGCCATAAAAGGATATTTTGCATATGCACCCTCCAATCTATTGTACTTGCAAATATAACCCATTGATAATTTGCTTATTTACCACCAAGTTTCCCTCGATTGTTCTTGTGCCCTCAATTTCAAATAGCTCTAACATATTCCTACCTACTGTGCTCTTCCATCTCCTCTCTCTATTTTATTATAAATTCATAAAATGAATTAACTTATCAAGAACTTATTTGCTATATTGGTGACTTCGGAAAAAAGAAGGGAAAAGGGATGCGTAAGATCTGTGAAGGTAAATTACAAATATCTAGCTGTGGAGTATATAATTGCAAATAACGCAATATAAAATCCTCCGGAGTTAAAAACGCGAATGTCCGCCACGAGTTCCTTGGAGATTCAATTGGCAGTACTCCGGGCCCGACGGTTCAGATCCTTCCAAAAGAACTAAACGACATCTCGGCCGTTGGATCAACTTCAGAGATTCATATCACAAGCAACACGGATCAGGAGACTATAAAAGAGCCAAAAGACGACGAGGCCTCTTGCTCCTTCCCTCGCTCGTTGACGCCTCTCTCAAATCCCAAGATCGCTCTCTAATTTGATCCCGTGTTCCTATTTGATTTGGGAGAAAAGGCTGAGATTTTGGGTTTTTTTTAGGGCTTCCTTCTAATTTTAAGAAGATCTCGCCCTTTTCCCCAATTCTCATCAGATTAGGTTTTATATATAGCGATTTTGGATATTTTCAAAGCTAGGGTTCCGACTTTCCCTCGTTTGCTTGATTCGTTAGAGGACTCAGATTTGGGAATATTACGAGATAAATTTGGTTCCTTTTCCCTAAATTCTTCGATCAGGGGTCGTGATTGATTTAGAGAGAGAGAGAGAGAGAGAGAGAGAGAGAGAGAGAGAGAGAGAGAGAGAGAGAGAGAGAG